ATCTCTTAGGGGGACTGCAGGCAACAGCAGCTATTCAATGCTAATAACAATAAATAATTACATTTGACATAGTGCCTCATCATGTTTTCAAGACTTCTCAATGCTCTTCACGGAACATACCGTAAAGTGAATTAACTATATTTTGTGGGTGAAACACGGCAGCCAATTACGCACAAACAGTCTTGGATTGAATGACCCAATTTTTAATTTTTTTGGAGAGATTATTATCCCCGGAAAAGCGATCCGCCAATTGACAAACAACTGGGTTCGTACTAACTGCTAGGTAAACAGAGGCACGTGGAGTAAGGAAACTTGCCCAGTGTTTTGCCCTGTCGGGAATCAAACCCAGGTCCTCTCGCTTGCGAGGCGAGCGTTCTAACCACTAAGCTACTCTGTGCTCATCAAGGTGATGGATCTGCATCCCTGGCTGAGGGGCTCCTGGCAAAGGTGCAGGTTTATGGAAGAAATGGGGGTGATGGAGGCTAGTATTGGGCCCCTTGGTAGAAAACAGAAACTGCTCTCTGAGCCTTGGTTCAGGGTGAGAGAGCTCTGCTATGTGTCCTCACTATGTAATGGATTAGTTCTGCACAATGAGCTCTCAATGGGTACTCCAGCCACAGACTCCTGATAAACACACATGTTCTGGGCAATTAGCTGTGCATCCCTCAAACAACATGAGTTTGGGAACAATTGGAGAGCCTGATGGATATCTCTCCATTTTTTCACATTATCTCAAATTCTGGGTTGACATTATTTATTTATTTAGTGAATATGTATTTTTTTCTCCAAATCGCCATCATTAATCTTTCCTGTCGCCCATGGTTTTCATTGAGACATTCAGTCTGTGTGATGTCACCTAAACACTACATCTTCTCTAACCCTGGGTAGTTACTGCATAATTACTAACTGCTCTTAAATCAGAATCCTTATCCTTCCTACATCGTATATTTTTCCTGTTCTCTCCTCTTCTGTGATTGGTGCTGGGGTTCCACGGGCACTGTCTGCCCTCTGGTGCTTTGCCCAGGTGACTTCTTCACGTGTGAGCCTGAAGTTATGGAATAACTTCATTCCTGGGTTTACTCTAATAATAGTTTGAGACAAGATGTCTCAAAGCACTTCACCAGATTTTACTGTGAATTGTAGTGACTGTATTTATAGGCAAATGTGGCAGCCTGATTTATACACTGGGAGAAGAATACAGACTGGTGGCAGACTGAGTCTTTAGCCTCAGTTTGACAAATTGACATATCTGCTGAGATGATTGTTTAAGAGCTACAATTGTTTTTATATTAATTAAAAAAAACTCAGTTTAAAAAGCCAAAGGTTTGGAAGAAAGGAGGACTGAGGCAGGTGTGGAGTTCTCGGAAAGACGAGAGAGAGCGAGTAGGGCATCAAGAAATGAGTTTTGATTTCAAAATTTTGATGGGTCCAAAGCCTAGAGGAAAGTTCAAAGGAGCAGCAACCATAGTAGTAACAATAAAATAAAGAGAACAAAAGGTGTGTGAGAGTAGGGGGATTGGAATCTGAATGTGAGATCCACTATCAGAGGTGTTCTTGTATCCTGTCTAGGACTCGAGTTCACTCTGACCCAGTAATGTATAATGTTTACTAGAAAATCTGTCAGTGCAGGTTTGATGACTGTGACCATCATTTGCTGTGACCCAGACTAACACGGTACCTTGTTAGATCTTGTGTGGAATCTTAATTGGTTACACATTCTCTGTCTTTCTTAAATTGGCACAGCCTCCACTGGCCAGTTAAATAAACACCATTTTCTGTTAATGGGCAGAATGTTTAGCTTCTGCTGAAGTTTACCCTTCAGTGGAACGTTTCCACATCAGGATGTTGACACCAAACGTGATACTGATCCACAGGAAAAGCATTGTGTCTCAACTTCCCTGTGGGGTTCAAAGCAAGAACCTCCCATTCCAAATCTGCTCCTCAACTGGCTTGTGTTCATTGTTAAATGGTACTTTATCTATAGATTATGTTGATGATAATAATAACAATAATCCTTGCATTTGAAATAGTGCCTTATCACACCTTTGAGACGTCTCAAAGCACTTCACAGCGTATACTGTAAAGTGAATTGACTGTATATTTTGTGGGCAAAATGTTAACACCCAGACTAAATGTAATTGTTCACATTATTGAGATTTTTTGAGTTGTCACATAGCATTTTCTTTTAAATTTGGAGAGGCAGATTTCTTCCTCAGATTTGCCCTTTGCATCACCTATTGGCATTTGTAGAAGTAAAAAATCTTTGGTGTATGAAAAGAACACAGTCTTTGCAAGCCCCCTTGGAGCACTCCCTGGAGTTGTACTCCATCTTGCAGTGAAAACCTTTGTCCACAATGTGGCGACATCAGACAAACCATAATATTTTACTGTTTTATGAGCCTAGTTTGATTTGGTGGTAGCTGTTGTGTATATGTAAAGCACAATGGGCATTTCATGCTTTCAAAGTTCGTAAACAGCCATGGAGGGTATGATCAAATTACTTGGGGGATTTTGGGACAGGACACCCAAAGAAAAATTCCCTTCTCTTTTTGAATAGTGCCACGGGGTCTTTTACATCCATCTGAACAAGGCAGACAGGACCTTGGTTTAATGTCTCATCCAAAGGTCAACACCTCCAACATAGCACTGTGTCAGCATGGACTATGTTAGGTTCCATTTCCTGATGTGGGTCTTGAACCCACAACGTTCTGACTCAAGATCATTGAGCTGCCAGCTGAACAGTGGCTGGAGAATTGATGTCTGCAGCATCTACTCACAACTTGTTTTTACATAGTAGGAATGTTCAGGGAGGCTGCTGAGGGGAATGCCTGGTGGGAGTGTGGGGTCCAAATAGAATGAGTTCAAATTGTATTTCTTGTTAAAGGACTTTGACTTACAAGTGTAGACTTGGAGTATTTCATATCTCCTTCAATTTACCTTGGAGTAGAGTTTACGTTGCACCCCCTCTAAGGCGAGTACATCTTTCTTAAATAAGGAGACTAAAACTGCACACAATATTCTAGATGCGGTCTCACCAAGGCCCTATACAGTTGCAGCAAAACTTCCCTACTCTTGTATTCTAACCCTTTTGCGATAAACGCCAACATGCCATTAGCCTTCCTAGTTGCTTGCTGTACCTGTATACTAACTTTTTGTGACTGATGCACAAGGACACCCAAATCCCTCTGAACACTGACACTATCTAATTTCTTCCCCTCCAGAAAATAATCTGTTTTTACTACCTAGGTGAATAACTTCACACTTCCCCACATTACATTACATCTTCCACCTTCTTGCCCACTCACCTAGCCTATCTCTATCCCTTTGCAATCTTTTTGTGTCATCCTCAGAGCTTACTCTTCCATCTAGCTTACTATCATCCGCAAATTTAGATATTTTAAGTTCTATGTCCTTGTCTAGATCATTGATGTAGATTGTAAATAGTTGAGGACCAAGCACTGATCCTTGTGGCACTCCACTAGTCACGTCCCGCTAATCTGAGAAGGACCCGTTTATCCATACTGTCTGTTTTCTTCCCGTTAGCCACTCTTCAATCAATGCTAATATATTGCCTTTAATTCCATGGACCCTAATCTTGTGTAGCAGCCATTTATGTAGCACCTTGTCAAATGCCTTCTGAAAATCTAAATACACTACATCTATTGGCTTCCCCCCCTATCTAAACTGCTAGTTATATCCTCAAAGAACTCTAAAAAGATTTGTTAAGCAGGACTTCCCCTTTGTAAAGCCATGGTGACTCTGCCTAATCATGTTATGGTCTTCTAAGTACTCCACTACGACAGCCCTAATTAAGCATTCTAGAATTTTTCCTACCATGTCAGACTGACTGGTCTGTAGTTCCCCATCTTCTCTCTCCCAGCCTTCTTAAATAGGTGTTACGTTTGCGATCTTCCAATCAATGGGAACCGTTCCAGAATCCAGGGAATTTTGGAAGATCAAAAACAAGGCATCCACTATCTCAGCAACCCTCTTTTAAAACCCTAGGATGCAGACCATCAGGTCCAGGTGATTTGTCATTTTTCAATCCCAAGTTTCCCTAGTACTAATTCTTTACTTTTGTTAATTTCCTTAAGTTGCTCACTGACATTAGCTTCTTACTTCCCCTCTATTTTTGGTAAGTTTTCAGTGTCTTTTAACGTGAAAACAGAACCAAAGTATTTAATGACTGCCATATCTTTATCGCCCATTATAATTCCTCCCGTCTCTGCCTGTAATGGACCTACATTCACTTTTGATAGCCTCTTCCTCTTCATGTATTTGTAAAAACACTTGCAGTCTGTCTTTATGGCTAGGTTGCCCTCCTAATCAGTTTTAGCTTTTCTTTTTGTTGGTCTCTGAAGCCCTCCCAATTCTCGGGTTTATTGCTTTTTTTGGCAGTATTATAGGTCTCTTTTAATTTTATACTTTCCCTAACTATAGTTAGCCATGGTTGAACCACTTTTCCCATGGTATTTTCAAGGGAATATGTGATCGCTGGGAATTATGTACTATATCTTTAAAGGTTTGCCATTGTTGGTCTACTGTCATATCCTTTAATTCCCCAGTTTATTTTAGCGAAATCTTCTCTCATACCTACAAAATTGGATCTATTTAAATTTAAGACCCTTGCTTCGGACTTAACTATATCACGCTCTAACTTAATGCTAAATTCCATTTTCTGGGGGTTTATAGAGTAATCTGCATGGGTGTATTTCTAGGGTTCAGGGACTGGAAAGAATCCTCATTCTTAAATCCAGTTTGGATCCTGTTTTATAGACTAGGGCAGAGGGAACTTTCCCTACATTCCTTACCTGACTTGAGGACTAAATCACCGCCAAATAGTTTTTTTTTACAAACTGCTTTGTATTTGTGCTGATTCACCTGAGCGTTAAGGTTGAAAAGGGTTAAGCAGGTGTGTTCTTCTGTAACATATTGCTGAAATGCAATGAAGTACTGAGCATAGAATGATAAAATACAAGAAATCTTGTTTTATTAAAACACTTCAGTTTATTTATCAAATGCTTATAATAGCACCAGTCAACACCAGGAAAGTGTGTGATACAGAAGGTTTTCCATGGACAACTGCACATTGAAAATCAAACAGACTTAAAGTTGCCCAGGTCCCACAGCATGCTCAAACCCTCCTTTCTCATGCTGGGAAATAGTTCCCTGGGTACTGACTGTCCTCCTCCCATTATCTCAGCCAATTTTCACAAGGGAAGTCAGACGGTGACTGTTGGCAGAATATTCAATCATTTTGCCGGCAAATCATCAAATCCCAGCCAGATCCTGTCTTTCTTGTGGCTGATTTTATCTTTTCTTGCCTAGGAACAGTACTGAAAAGTCGTCATTGCTCACAAGGTTGACCACATACAAGTGTGCGCATATCGTGGCAGATATCAGTATTGCTCTTGTTTCTCGTCCAGTTTGGCTCCTTGAATCCAACATTGGATAAGTGTCCACATACTCATTTTCTGTCACATTTGACATGAAATGACTAACTTGTGCCGCAGAGAGGATTCTTCCTGCCTCGTGGGGACTTCGATCTGTCTTGTAACCAAACTGCTCAGCAAGCTCACTTCCTATGTTAATATTTCAAGTACCGTTCATTTTTACAAAATACTATTTTTTTAAAAAAACCTCAGGCATACAGAACAGAAAAGCAATCGGCAACAATCTACTGATCAATAAAGTTGAGCACCTTGGCTGAGACTTACTGGAAGATCGATGGCATGAGGTACCAGCTTTCGTTTTAAACTAGATTTTATGGTGAATTGTACGTTCCTTTAGGTGAGGATGTTCATGCTGAGAATGACAAAATTTCTCCCATTTTCATCATTCAGTCTCTGCGTCTAACACTCCCAGATCAGGTAGTGTGGATAAGAGACACAGCACTCACTGTGCCTGGCTGGGAGTCAGGAACTCTCCAGCAGGCAGCCTTGCTCACTCGCAGACTGATGTTACAATCCTAAAGCCTGTGTGAACCAAGTAACTCAGCCTATTGAACTGAAGTAAACATTTTCACAACTTGCACTCAAATACATGCACTCGCTCAGAGAATCAGTCTACAACCTGGTTATATTTATACCTAATATTGCATCATCCAAATTAAGAATACACAGAGAGAAGAGGTATACAAACATTATCATTATACATTCCCCATGTTAAAGGAATAAATTTCTTCAATAAGTCCTAAATATTTTTAAATTAAATTCATTGGGACATTAACTTTGATTTCATTAAGTGTTTGTCTTCTAGATGTGGTATGTTACCTCTGATAAAAGGGTCTCATTTCAACCAGCACCAAGAGCTCTCAGAGTAGGTAGATAGAGCAGAGTTGGGGCAGGTGGATGGAGTGGGGTTACGTCCACAGTGAAGTTCCAGCTTCTGCTCCAATCTCAGAAGTGGCTTCTCCTGACCATTCTCTCATCTGATGAGCTCTAAAAACTTCCTCAGTTTGATAGAATGGATGTTCACTTGCTAGAATAGTCCTAGGCACAATACAATTGGACAGAACGTTATGCCTATACTCAATATCTAACCTGGTAAACTTGAAATTGGTTTCAAGATGGTCCTATTCTTCTGACCAAAACCATAATGATACCAACATGAACAAATTTGAACTAAATATCTGAAATGCAGTAAAGATGGTTACAATTGCCCACCTACAAATTCACAGAAGGTATGGGGCAGATCTTGTACACATTTCACAAAGAGTGTTTCAAGCGTGTTTGAGCAAATCCAGGGCTCAGGTGATGTGGCAGTAAAGTCAGCTCCATTCCTAATGGACAGAACAACAGCGAGGTTCATCCAGGAAACTTGTCAATAGAATCTGTGTATGAACATTGACCCCTCTAAATGGTGAATCACTCCAGCGCTAATGGCCAAAACTCTGGGACCTGCCATTCCTTTACTCCTCTATCCCATCAAGCTGAGGTTTAGTTTTGAAACAGTGCAGAAATTGACCAGGCTTCTCTTGGTGAGACAGCATCTCAGCAGCTCAATGCATTCAGAGACTGGAGTCAGACTCTCGCTCTGCAAACTGCTCTCCCACGCCAGCAGATCTAGATGTAGGTTGAACATCAAGAAGTGCTTCACCGAGACAAGGGGGAGCAGCAAGCAGACAGGAGGACAATCTGAGGGTGTTAAACATATCCACAATCGGACAAATATGTTTGTAAAATAGTTTTGAAAATGTGTGGGGGGAGAGAGAGCAATGTGAATGGAATCCAGAAGAGAGTTCCAGTGAGTCTGGACAAAGTGGCTGCAGGTTCACTTTCTGCTTCTAACCTTCCCCACCACCTCAACAACAACAACAACTAGCCAAATCTGCCACTGCAAAGGCTAAGCTTTGTGCAATGGAACTTGAACGTTAGGCAACACATACACACATCAGTGCTGCAATAAAAGCTAGGAACCGGACCAGGGCGTCTTAAACAGGATACATCTGTCTACTCGCCTCAATGGGACAGCTATGCGTGTCCTCCATCATTTAACTTTGAAATGTATAAGGCAGTAACATTCTTGGCTTCATTCTGAAAACATTTCAAAATTTACCAACGGGTCAATACATTGCAACTAGGAAGGCTGAATGGATCCAAGCCAAGGAAAACATAATTTCAAGTGAATGACTTGAGTGATGTTGATACCTTTGTACAAACGGCCCCAGTGTCTGATGTATTGATTTCATCCAGTCTCCAACATGTGAAACTCCTCACCCAAGTGTGAGAGTTCATTGGAAAAGAATGAACTTCTTACAGTGCCTGGCTATTGCTGAACTGTCTTCTTTTTCCTCCTCCCCTACCCCCATATCTCCCCATCATATGTGGCATTTCTCACAGTTTAGAATCATATTGATGAAAATATTATAAGTAAAAGGCAGTACATCCCAGAAGCTGACCACTTTACAAGATACCAGTCACCAAACTCCTTTCTGAATACCATTTCTTCTTTGGAAACAAATACTTCAATGACCATGAGATATTAAACTGTTAGAAAACAACAAGAACAAACAATGTAGGTTTGGACTCTCGGACTGTGTGCCCAGATGGCTGGTAAACGTGCAGATAAATTCAGGTTGGTTACTCCCAAATTCAGAAAGGTTTCTGATTTGTTGAGTAACTTTCAGCTGTAAACAAAATCCAGTCTTTTTTTGGCTGTAAAGCTGCCCAGAGAGGACTATGAGCGATTGAAAGCCCTCTGCGGATGGTCTTTATGTGAATCAGATTGCCTGTGGGGTGAGAGAGGCTGAGGGGGGCCACCTGGAGAAATACATAATGAGAACATGTCCGTTACTTTATTTTAAACTCCCTTCGCCACTAAAATTACCTTGCTCGAGGGTCAGTTTTCATGTGTAAATACAGAGAGCAGCCTATTTGAGCAAGAGGGAGAGAGAGTAAATGAAAGCCAAGCCTGAACCGACCTTTTCTAATATTCACCTGATCTTAAGCCTTAAGCCTTAAAATTTAGTTTGTCTTAAGATTCTGTAGAATGTTAAATTTTATCACCGTAAAATTCTTGATATACTACAACTATACCAAGGACAACTCTCCCCTTTGTTATTTTAAACATTTGCATTCTTATTAATAAATACTCTCCTGTCTTTGGTAAGTTACAATCCAAGGAGAAAGGGTGATCTCTGTTGTGTGGGACATCAGAGCTTAAAAAGAGCACAGTGAAAAGTATCTCTCCACACATGCAGGTACCATTAGTCATTGTTGCTACAGAGGAATACAGGCAATAACTATGGATTGTCTTTACCTTCTTCACACGTAGGTCCCATCCAACTGAAGGAACACACACAACTTCCATTGTGAGGGTTACACCAAGCTTTGTTGGAGCACTGACAGCTTAAAGTACAGTTCGGTCCATACCGATTTGCCCTACAATCTGGGACATCAAAATGAAGAGGGACTTTTAGATTATACATACTACATGGCATAAACCTCAGCATTGTGAAATTCCTTAATCTTCCATTCCTCCTACAAACACGATTTTAAAACCCACCTGACCATTATTTCTTGATGTATCTCAGCCTCTCCTGAATTTTGTTGTTACCCTATAATGACCAACTTGGTCCTTCACTTAGTTTCTGTATGGAGGACTGGTTCAATTTAGCAACTTCAGGTGAATTATCATAAGAGGAAGTCAAGGCAGTTAAGAGTGCCAGTATTTATTGGTTAAGTCATCGCCCAGTTGACCCTGTGGTTCAATCCCACCCTTATTTAAATCCCTCTGAGCCCAGCTCCCGACCATAACCACCAAAATGACCAGCCCCTGTAAGAGGAAGTCTGACACTCTACAGCTTGAGATACAAGGTTACAGCGATATAAAAACAAACTAAACAGAGATATTAGATGTGCATAAAGAATTCTTACCAATGTCACATTGGTCTCCAGTTCTACCCGGTGGGCAAAGGCACCTTCCTGTTTGAGGATGGCATGGGATGGCACCCGCACACTGACAGAGATGCTGACACCTCTCACCAAAACGTCCGATGTCACAGGCTGGCACACAAAGGAGCAGAGTTCACATGACATGCCAACAGGCAGAAAGTATACTGTCTTAATTTTTTCACGAGAAAGGAAGACAAATGGCTCAGTGATATTACCTCTCTCGCACTGCTCCCCCTGGTAGCCAGATGGACAGATGCACTGACCGGAGACGGGATCACAGGTAGCCCCCTGTTTGCAGTCACAGGAGTGAGCGCAGTTTAAGCCGTGGAAACCTGGAGGGCATGCTGGAAAATAAGCCCATCCAGTACAGCAGTCAAATTCCCTTCAATCATATTCCAAGTCTTTGTAGGTGAATGCTGTGCTCAGCAAAGTCAGTTAATACTGGAAAATGCAACCCTTCCCCCTCTCAGGCACCCAGTGTTGGCATCAAGTCCTACCAGGTTTAGTACAGTATAGAATGGGTTACACAGAGAGAAGCTTAACTGAAATGGGATGAAGACTGCCTCAAACTCACTTCGCTTAGCATGGTTAGAGCATTAGTCTACACAGAAATCAAACCCAGTTACCAGAGGTCAACAAATAAATGTGCCTCAGGATACTGTGTGTGTCTAACACCAAGTGCAGTAAATCCAAGACGTTTACCCAGGAGTTGATGTTCTCTTGCCCTGAACCCTTCGTCACTAACAAGCTCCTCGATCAGAACCACAATCTCTCTTTCAGACTCAATGCAGAGATTGAGGGAAGAGAGCTCAGATTGAAAATAAAACAGTGCAGAGTTGATGAGCACCATTGAAGAAAAAATATCTTTGAGAAGTATCTGCTGAGGAAAAGGGATGAGGACCATAGGGTTATTGATGCACAGAGAGCCACGCAGCTCATTGAAATGGTCATCCTTCACGTGGGTCTCTGGATAGCGAGCAGGAGTCTGGGATGATTTGACTTGGGATGGCACTTGGGTTTATATGTGTAACTAGAACTTTTACGTGTGTAGCCTCACAGCCTGACAATGGTTGTCAGGTGTGGCTGAGACATGGCGCTGTATCCCATGAACCATCGCCAACAATGAAATCAAACAAAAGGTAAAATACACGAACCTTGCTCGCACAGCTGCCCGTAGAAGCCAAGCGTGCAGAGGCAGCAGCCCGTGAAGCGATTGCAGGTCCCATTATTCTGACACAAACACTCCAGCTGGCAGCTGGCTCCAAATTTCCCAGGAGGACACTCTGCAATTAACAAGCAAAGCTTTAAGCAGCCTTTATCTCGAACTCCTCCCTCAGTGCCATCATTTTACTCTCTATTTCACCTATCCCTTACTATAGTAACACTCTGATATACCCTTCAGTACGAACTGATAAAGCACACCCCTCATTATAACACTCCGTGACTGTTACACTGATATACTGCACCCCTCAATATAACTCTCTAACAAACCCCACTGCCTGCTGGAGCACTCTGATGTACCTCTTTCTACCATTAGGAAAGTAGAACACTCTCACACAATACACCTTGTGATATTACCCTATTGCTCCTCACTGTAACAATCTTCAGGAAAGCCACATATGTTTATATCAACGAGTGACTATCTTCCTTGAGGGATGGTTGGGAGGAAGGTAAGCTGGGTCTCCTTGGACCTAAACTGGTTCCAGGGTGACATCTTGGTAATGGAATGTCAGAATCGAACCAGCTGTCCCCTGGTAATCCGGTTCCTGAGCCAGATGGATCTGCAGTTCTCCAGGGCATTGCTGATGACAGCACAGTTAGCCTGGCTCAGTGGTAGGCCTTGGAAGCACAATCTCTGGGGGGGCAAGCACTCTTCCTTCTCAACATTCCTATTAACCCCGTAAGCCAAAGCCCAGCAGGTAGGGTGGCCCTAGCTGGACAAACAGTTGGAAAGCTTACCACACAGTGCTCTCAATGGCAAGCTATGCAGTTATAGCTGGTTAGGCTCCAGCAGTACCCCAATGCACACTCTGGGGTATCCAAGCTTTGGCTCTTGCCGACCTGCGCCTAATACTCTTTGGAATTAGGTAAGCAGGATGTGTACCTCCAGGGAGGGAGTGTGCATTCCATTCCAATATTTGGGAATTTTCCATTTGTAGGTGGAACACCATGAAACTCTTAAACATGGTGATGCTCCACATCTGTCAGCCATCCAGCTGACCAAAAAAAAAAAAGTGTTCATGATCAACTAATACCTTGCTCACAATAAGCACCAGTCCATCCGAGTCCACAGGTGCACGTTCCATCCTCTGGGTTACAGAGGCCGCTGTTCTGACAGGCACAGAGCTGCTGACAGCTGGGACCAAACATTCCCTTTGGGCAAACTGTAGCAAAACAAGAAGTATTTAAATATGCGGCAGAAAGGGTTTCACTCACTTCAGAAGACACAGGACAGACGTGCGGAATATATCTAAGCGTAGATTGTCAATAGGATCAGCGGATAATGTTGAAATCGTCTGCAACTGGGGGTGAGAAGCTTCTGTCACAGCATGACCAGACCCTTAGCTCACTTGGGCCATCTAGTGGACACTCCCTGACATTGCAGAATCCAATCATAAGGATCTGATGCTTTTTGTAAAGGGCTGAGGACTGCGACAGGTCTCGACACAGGTCCAAGCAGTTTTGGACGTCCTCCCAATGTGAGGTACACTGTACAAGTTGGATTGCATGATTATAAACCATTCATAAAGGCTCACACACCATCGTATTAAAAATATACTTAATAATCTGGAGTTAGTATTTTCAAAAAGTCCTGAGGGTATTGTCATATTATGATTAAGATGCCATCTCTCCCTGGGGTTAGCTTTGCCCAGTGCAGTACCTTGCTGGCAGCTGTGACCTGTTGTACCAGGGCGACACTGACACCTGCCTGTCACAGGAACACACTGGCCTCCTTTACCACAGGAGCAAAGGAACGCACAATCTCTCCCATAGTAGCCTTCTGGGCACGCTGCAAGGGAAACATATACATGTCAGGTGAGAGCTTTAACATAATGAGAAATATTTAAGTATCGATAAATAGTATAAACTCTTCAGTCAAGACACAGTGAGCAAGAGGACATATACACAGAACATTTCAGGACTATTGCCTGGTTCAGAGCTTAGTAGGTTAAGGCACAAAGCCATAGAGAGAGTAATCAATCGTAGTGTCAGTATCTTGGAAATAGCTTAGCGTCACTTACCAGTGGTGGAGTCACTGTCCCATATATCACAAGAGGTGAAGAAGGCGCTACAGCTCATCTGATCTCATCCTTCCAGAATACCTAGCCTCCCATCTTCCCATTACACTGTTTATTAAATAAGTCCAGCATCTTGACTTCAATTACCCTTCCTGACAATGCTCTGTAGTTATTAATAGCTTACTGGTGTCTGTCCTTAATCGACTCCTGTAACTTACTAACACTGCAGGTGGCTCCAATGAAGCCTGGGGGGCAGCTGCAGGTCCCAGTCACTGAGTCACAGCGGCCTCCATTCTGACACTTGCAGTTCTCTCGGCAGTGAGGCCCATACGTCCCATCTGGACATCCTGCAAAACATGTCCCCACACTATTGTAAATCATTCAAAAGTAAAAGGCAGCAAATCCCAACACCCAGGTACTAAACTCTTGCCGAGTGTCAAAGAAACATCCTCAATTATCTTTTAAACACAAAATCAATCATTCCCACCAAGTGAGCCTCCTCCTGTGGCAGAGGAGGGCACTTTGTGAGTAATTAGCGAATTTCATCAGAGAAATCTCAATGAGCCAAGTTAAACGTTTCTCTCTCTAACTCTCTCATATTGCACCCAGAGACACACGCCAAGAAACACACACACACACACAACTGTACACATGCACACAAATGCATCAACAAAGTTTTACAAAACCTTACACTCCATCTTAACTGCAGGGAGATAACAGAGAGAGTCTGCCAGAGAGTGGATGCAATAGATTTTTGCACTCATCTTTGATTGGTTTTAAGTGTATGACCTGGGCTGATACTCCGGTGCAGTACTGGGGAAAACGCATTGTTGAAGGTGCTGTCATTCAGATGAGAAGTTAAACCCAGGACCTGTCTATCTGTTCAGGTGGACTATAAAGAACCCATTGATACTATTTGAAAAGAAAGGGAAGTTTCTCCTGGTGTGCTGTCCAACAATCCTCCAATTATATTGGTCCTTCACCTCCTGGCCGTTTGTGGGACATTGCTGGTTGTAAATTGGTTTAATCGTAATCATAGTGAAGCAATTTGAGACTTTCGCAGATGTCGTAAGGAGCTATGTCAATGCAAGCATGATTATCTTTAATCCCATTCATTAAAAGGGTGATAATATTTCTCTTTAGGGACTTTATGAGAATTATGTTTGGATAAATTAAATTGTAAATATTAGGGCTGTAATCTATTAAATATACCCCAACTGTAAATGTGAATGAATTATTGCAAAAAGAGTTTTGCACTGTTTGAAACCTGATTTAATGATCATACATACGGAGGTCACAGCGATCACCATGGTAACCAGGTAGACAGGTGCAGTCCCCGGTCGCAGTGTGGCACTGCTCATTCACACCTGAACACTGGCACACGTGATTGCAGTTCTGCCCAAAGGTACCTGGGGGACAATCTGGAAGAGAAAGCGGAGGCAAAAGAGTCAGGTAATGGAAATGCCAGTCATCAAAAGCCTCAAAGAACAGAAGAGATATATCTATCATAAAGGCAGAACGTAAAGAATTCTCTGCTTGCTCCCAACGTCCTGTTTCTTAAGCCTGTGCTCCTTGGTATTTGAATTCTTCCCCTCAGGCAGCAATCTGTTTACACTAAGTTTTAACATGTCTACTAAGCTCTTTCCAAAGAAAACCAGCCCCAACCATTTACACTAAACATTTGCAACATTTTTCTGCAGCAAAGTCCCGTCTCCGGAAACCATCGTGATTGCTCAAGGGCAGTAATAGTCTTGCTGGGTTTAGGACGAAAACTGGCTCAGTTACCCCCAACTAACTAGATGTGAAGCTTTCGGATTGATCTTTAAGTTTGAAGGCTGTAATGGCAGAAATCACACCCACAAATTACAAGGGGAAGAAGGATTACTTTACTCAGTGTGGTACTGTATAGATCACATAAACCTTATCGCAATGTTTAGCACGGACCTGCGGAGAGAAAAGCCCCATGTCTGGAAATGTATAGCTCTGTATGCCACGCAGTGTCCACTCCTGTACACGTACAGAACACACTTGGGTACATCTCAGTGAAAGAAATTATGAGTGAAGGTCAGTTCTTTAATAAAAAGTGAGGTAAATAACCCCTCAGCACTAAATGCAGGTAAATCTTTTTGTTGGATTTTAGGAAGTGAAAGAGACTGTGAAAGGAATATTCCTCTGCTTGGATTAAAAGCCGGCCTTACTTTCCTCACAGCCGTTGCCAGTGAAGCCGGCAGGACAACCGCACTCGCCAGTCACGTGGTTACAGGCAATGCCAGCGGGACACTCGCAGCTCTGGGCACAGGTGTCTCCATAGTAGCCGGGCAGGCAGGCTACGAGAGAAAGAAGACAACGTCAAAACCGGTCCCAAACATACGCATCAAATCAGCAAAATGCATCCTCTTTTTATACTTCTTACGGCGAATTTTAGGTTAATGAAGAAGAGGGGTGTTAGTACTGATAATACTGAAGACAGGAAAGCTACCTGTGTGAGTACCCTGAATTTCCTGGTTAGCTACAAAACTCAGTAAAGCTCCCTCTGCACTGCATAACCAGGCACTCCGTCAGCTACAGTCCACAGTAAAGCTCCCTCTCAACCAACCAAATCCATAATGCCAGTCAGCTATAGAACGATAGTCTGAGTGAGACTCTCAATTTCACACTAAATTACGCGGACATTTCTGAGTTCCAGATTCATCATACTCTGGAGACTGACGGCTAACAGACAGAGGCTGGTGGCCTTTCATCCCAGCAGTTTGGGCTGTGTTGGAACTTTACTCCTGGAAAGTGAAGGCCAGGGTCCCAAACTCTGCACAGGTTTGAGATTATTTGCCTGATCAGATTTCAGGAACCAATGTGTCTAACGCACGAAACAGTAACAGGTACTTGGTGACTCATCCTCCCCCCATCTCTGATAAAACAACATCAACTTGCACTTATATAGCGCCATCCACGCAAAACATACACCATGGACACGAGAGCATAACTGGTACAGGATGTCATTGAAGCCAACATGGTGTTCCAAAGATGATCCTCTCACTCAACGCATCTAGAATCTTCCGCTACCGTCCCGTCAAGCAAACAGAACTCACGCTTGTCACATCTCTTGCCCCGCCAGCCTCGAGCGCAGTGACAGTCCCCGGTCTGATGGTGGCACGACATGGCATTGTCACAATCACATCTCTCCTCGCAGCCCTCTCCGTGATATCCAGCCTGGCAACCTGCAGCAGCAAACTAGACACTGAGACCAGTCCAGTCACTAGTACTACTGAGCATTAATAATAATAATCCTTGCATTTGATTTGGCGCCTCATTACATCTTTGAGACGTCTCAAGCGCTTCACAGAATATACTGTAAAGTGAATTGACTGTATATTTTTGTGGAGGACATGCACAAGTGCTACTGTCTCATCCTCTGGGTAGAAATGACATCTCCAACATATCACATTAGGAATTGCTCTCATTCCTGGACAGGATACAAGGAAATCTCGGCATCTTATACATCCTTCTTTAAACTCCAGCCTCCAAAACACATGCTTCTCCATTGCGACCCTGTTTGTTTTCATCAATTTTTCTTTTATTTTCATTTGTTTTCAAATTATTATCATTAATTTAACAATGCTATTACACGAGCATCACAATGCTTCTCTAAACTTTTCTCTCATTCCCACCAAATTGCGCACATTATCGTTCTGCATGTTCTTCCTCCTCCCTGAATCCTCACCGTGTCCAAATCTTGACTCATCGAATCTTTTACCCTAACTCATTTTTTCCCAGGACTTGAACTCCAATGGGGTCTTTCCCTCTGACAATCCACAGAATTTTATAATAATATTTGCATTTGATATAGCACCTTATCATGTTGTTGAGACGTCTCAAAGCGCCTCACAGCTGATTGACAGCTACTGTAAAGCTGATTGACTGAGTATTTTGTGGGCAAAACTTCCTCACCTCATTCCCTACTATGTTCAGGTTTAATGTTGCCTTACACTTTGGGCCTGGCAAATTTGTCAGTAACAAGTAGTGGGACCACTCACTTGTCTGACAGGTTTTCCCAATCCAGCCAGCTCTGCAGATACACTGTCCTGTGTGCCGGTCACAGCTGCCTCCGTTCCTGCAGCTGCAGCTTTCCTGGCAGCCTTCTCCGTACCATCCAGCCTCACACTCTGAGCGGAATAAAAACACAGGCTCAGAGATGGGGGAGAGAATGATAATAAGCCTTGCATTTGTTAGCACATCTGCAACATCAAAATATCACAAAGGGCTTCACGGTTATTATTATCATTATTATTACTTACACTTTGTAAGTGTAATTAATAATAATGCTTTAAATATGATAAAGCGCCTTTCGCTTCAGAAGGCACATCTTGAAGCGCTTCACAGGAAATTGTGGTCGGTGTTTTTGTATTAACTGAGGTCGGCAGGCTTACCGAGCTCACAAGCTATGCCAGTCCAGCCTTTGGCACAAAGGCAGGATCCAGTGACAGAATCACACGGAGCCTTGTTTCTGCAGATGCAGTGCTGTAAGCAGTTCATTCCGTACATCCCTGCTGGGCAGCCTGGCAAACAGACAAGGTATTTACTTGTTTTACATAAATGCAAATTAAAAAAAACAGGGAGCCACAGCGAGGGGATAGTTGCAATTGTTAACAGTTTGTCTGAGTGGAACAATGGATAAAGCACACTGTCCTTTTCCATCTCAACACCTGGTTCCACTGCAGCCCGAACTGATGGGATGAAAGTCTCCTGTTTCCTCCGTCCGTCGAGGTGGAAAATGAAATGACTTAGTTGCAGACGCAGCCCAAACCCTGGGGTGGTTACGAGCGCACAGCAGACACGTGGAACTGAGCTGGGATGACTCACTCAAACAAAACCATAATGATGGCTGGGGAATGATGCAAGTTGGGAGCTGGCTTTCCAATCTGTGACAGTCTTAAGTGGGAAGTACTGAATGTAATCAAATTAAGTGAGAGAATAGTTAGCTCAGACTGCGGTGGGAGGAAAAGGAGAGACTCAAATCTGTACACCAATACCCTCATGCTACATACAGCAAGATTTCCCTTCTCTCCCCCCCGGCCCCAATGCTATTACTAGGCACTTACGCTCTTGACACTTTGGTCCAGTCCACCCAGGAGCACAGAGGCACCGGCCACTCACATGATGACATGTGGCTCCGTTACGGCAGTCACAGAGCCGACCACATTGCTCACCATAACTCTGCCCCTCACAAGCTGGGAAAATAAGACCTCAGTGTTAATCGGCAGCAGTGCCCTAATGTTGATCAGGATCAGTGTCCTCGATGTTCTAAATGGCAGTTTTATCCCAAATGTTCTATGGCAAGGCTGAATGGCATTAGTACCTTTAAGTGTTGTTTGTCCTCCTCATTCCACTGTTAATAATTCCCTCCGACTAAGTCATTATTTCTCTTGCACTTCTGGCACACGTTCCCCCACCCGCCCCGGGAACATGTAAAATCACATGGTATCAGGGGTATGGATCCCACCCGTGAAACTACTACCACTATAATAATAATAATTCTTGCATTTGATACAGCGCCTTATCATGTCGTTCAGACGTCTCAAAGCACTTCACAGAATATAATGTAAAGTGAATTAACTGTTTATTTTTGTGGGTGAAACGTGGCAGCCGATGGTCGTGGATTGAGTGACCAAATTATTATTTATTTATTTTGAAGGGATTATTACCCCAGAAAAGCAATTTGCCAATCGACTAACAACCAGGTTCCTACTTAATGCTGAGTAAACTGAGGCATGTGGAGTAAAGAAACTTGCCCAATGTTTCGCCCTGCCTGGGAACCAAATGCAGGTTCTCTCGCTTGCGAGGCAAATGCTCTAACCACCAAACTTCAGGAGTACCACTTCAACTTGCTTTTGTATAGCAGCCCTCACGCAGGTATCCTCCCAGAGCGCTTGTGAGAAACAAACTCACGCTGATTGCATCGGGGTCCTACCCAGCCGGGCAGACAGTGGCATTCTCCGTTCACGTGGTTACAGCCCGCTCCGTTCCTGCACTTGCACGTCAGCCGACAGTCGAGCCCATAAAACCCCTCTGGGCAGGCTGGGAGTGAGAGCACACACCGTTAACACTCTCGTCTCCCTCCCGCAAAGGAAAGTGACAATCCCCATGAAAACTACAATTTCTAAACCAATAATAACAAGAATAATGATGACAATTCTGAGTTTCACAGCCACCTAAAGAAATTAAAATCCAAAAAACACGCATGTTTTGCCACTAATTCAAAATAAACTGGTGGACAGTGGTACCTGAAATGGGAGAAACCACGTAATAATACTAATAATCTTTGCATTTAATGGAGCGCCTTATCACGAATTTGAGACTTCTCAAAGTGTTTCATAGAATATTATAAAATGGATTGATTGTATATTTTGTGGGTGATACACGGCAGCCAATTGCGCACAGCAGTGTCCCACAAACAGTCGTGGATTGAGTGACAAGATTATTATTATTTATTGTTTTATTTATTTATTTACTTGCACTTATCTGCCAGGGTGTGTTGCCAGCTAGTGGCCGATGGTTTACAGTTTTGTGACTTAAACGAGATCGCAAATTTTACCCTATAGCAACTAATTCATTACCTTCTGTCCCAGACGTCAATCTCACAGCAACAAGTCGGTAAAGAGCCTCCCCTTTCCTCGCCAGTGAATGCCTTTGATGGTTCGTACAGACACTACTGGAAAAAAACTGCGCGAATAAAGTTTTTGCACAAGAAGCTTACATCGTTCGCAGAATGTTCCTGTCCACCCAGCAGCACAGGTGCAGGCACCGCTAACGTGATCGCAGGCCGCTGTGTTCTGGCACCGACACGAGGACTCGCATCTCAAGCCGTAGCTTCCATCCGGACATCCTGTAGATAACAAGTGATCAAGACACTAATCAAGATCACAGTATCCAACATTGTACCTTTTCTAAATAACTACGTGATGCCATCACAGAGCTGTTAGGGATCAATTGCTGTGTCAAACACTGAATCTGGTCAATAGCCCTCTTCGACCATGCCTTCGGTCACCCTCCCAACTCCGATCCCCTGCCCACCAACACCCCTGACCCCAATTCCCAGCTTGGGTCCAAAAATCCCTGGGACCTCTTTCCGACATGAAGTGCGCGAAACAAGTGTAATTTGTTGTTGATGTCAACCTTGAATTTCAAGAACAAATTAGATAAGATTTGTGTTAGGAAATAACACTTTGTGCTTTTACTAATGGTCACAGACACTCCATCTGGCCTGCGATGCCCTTCACTTACTCTGTTCACAGTGTTGTCCCATGTACCCGGCTTCACACACACACAGACCGGTCTGGCCATCGCAGCTCCCAGCAGCGTTGTTGCACACACAGACGTTCTGGCAGCTGTTCCCCCAGCGCCCGACAGCACAAGCTGCAGCCAAAGAGAAATGGGTGTAAGAGGGCAGTGACCGCCAACAACAACAACTTGCATTTATCTAGTGTCTTTCACCCGTGGCAATGTCTCGGAGCGCTTAACTGTGGCAGATATAACAGATATAATCTGTAGAACAAATATAACACACACACACACATGCTTACAGCGCTCGTGACTTACGCCTGGTGCAGTCTGGCCCTGTCCATCCTGGAGCGCAGATACACGCTCCACTGGTCGCATTGCACGGAGTGGAGTTTGTACAGAGGCAGCGGTGGTGGCAGCCTTGGCCATAGTAACCGTCTGGGCAAGCTGTGATTCAGGAGAATGGGAGGAAAATGATCAATCAAATGCTACATTCCACAAATGTTCTTCCCACGCCAAACTCTGCAGCCCATATCTTCATAAAAGTGCGAAGAAGAAAAACTGGACACCTACCATCCTGACACAGTGTTCCAGTGAATCCCGCAGAACAATCACACTTCCCCGTCTCCTTGTTACATATGCCTCCGTTAGCACAGGAACTGCAGGAGAACTGGCAGTTTACACCCCAGTGACCAGAAGGGCAATCTAATCCCAAACACATAAGGAATCAAATTCATTAACTAAACGGGAGTCACAGAATCAGAGAACATTTCCAGAACAGGTGGAGGCCATCAGCCCATAATGTCTGTACTTCTCTCACACAATTCTTCACATACATTTCACGGATGGAAATAAAATACATGGAACAAGTATCTCGCCTAACAAGCACTCTTCCTCTACAGTGCATCTTATTCTGGAGTGCGCCCACCCACAATCTGGTTCAGTTGGTAGAACTCAGCTCCGAGTAAGCAGTTGTGGGTTCAAGTCCCACAGCAGGACTTTGAACACATAGACCAGGCTGACACTCCAGGGCTGTAGTGGGGTTACACTCGTACTCCCTCAAATAAAATCAGTCATTTACTTCCCAACTATTTGTGAGACTTTGCTGTGCGCAAAATGACTGCCATGTTTTAAACTCCTTTTAAAGCAATGTAAGTACTGTAGACCATTCACTTACCACGTTCACAGGCTGAGCCAGTTTTGCCAGCAGGGCAGATGCATTGTCCAGTCCATGGGTCACAAGGTGCTCCCCCACAGTCACAGCTCCCCCTGCAGTTAATCCCAAAGGTCCCCAAACTGCAGGCTGCAACCACAAGTGTTAGTGAGAGTGTGGTCTCAATGCCAGCCCTCAAAATACATTCGTGCATGCATCATTCGCCCTCTCCCCTTAATCGACCGGTTCAGAGAGCTGAAAGAGTCTGACATGTGTGAGTGAGAGTGTGAATGACAGTAAGGTATACCAAGCAGTATGCGGAGAACTCAATAAATTTCTCTTTTGCCTAAACATGTGTGTCTCTGTCTTACCCGAGTGGCTGTGTGCGTGTATATGTGTGCACTTTCTGACCTGCCTCTGCACGTGCGCACTCTCTCTAACCTGCCTTAGTGCGTGTGTTCTCTCTCTGTTCTGTCTTAGAATGCGTATATGTGTGTATGCTGCCTGACCTTCCTTCCTGTGTGTGTGTGTGTTCTCTGACCTGCCTGAGTCGCTTCCCCTCCCCACATGCTGTATCCTCCCTGGTTGCACCAAGCCCTCACTCACTCTCTCACTCCAACACCATCACTTACGCAGCAGGCACTGATCTCCCTGGAGCCCCGGGGGACACAGGTGCTGGCACTCGCCCGTCTCCCGGTTACATGACACCCCCACAGCACAGTCACACCGGGACGTGCAGCCAACACCATGGTAGCCTGGGTCACACTCTGTGGAGGCAGCGGAGACACACATCAGCGTTTCAGCTTCCAAGTGCCAAACAAGCATCTCAAGATCAATACCTACACCAACTCAACATTCAATTCTACAAAGAGGTCCACTCTATAAAGAGCAATGATTTGTTCCGCAACAAAGTCCTTGCAGTTCTGTGTTTTTGGGTAGGTTTACTTTTCCGCACTCTCATCTCTGAGTCGATCTGGTTCAAGCCATTCAAGCTGGTTCATCTATTTTCCCAAATAGGTAATTATTTTGGTGAAGACAAGTTTGTAGGGTTATGGGGAGAGAGGAGTGGAATTGATTTGGATAGCTCTTTTCAAAGAGCTGGCACAGACACGGTGGGCCAAATGGTCTTCTTCTGTACTGTATAATTCTATGATTCTACGAATCCCCACGTCAGGACTTTGAGCTCCCAGTGCTGGAGGAGCACTGCACTGGAGCATTGGATTGCAGTCTAAACCAAGGTACCGACTGCTTGTTCAGGTGGACATTAAACATCCCATGGCACTATCTATGAACTGCAAGGGTGTGGGATCAACTTCAAGGGCTGCGTTAGTCTGCACAAACAACAACAAAGGGTGAAGGTAAAGAAGGGTGGAGGAGGGAAGATGAAGGCACGGTCGAAAAGGAAGGTTTTGAGACAGCCCATGAAGGAGGCAAGGGTGGGGGCAAGGAGGAGGGGAGCTCCGGAATGGAGTTCCAGATTGTGTGGTAGGGCGAAGGGGATGGTGGAGCAAGCCAATGCTTGCAGAGCCGAGGGAGTGGACAGACTGATGGAACAAGAAGTGCAGCCCAGCCCACCTCTGACGTATGGAAGCGCCACCGACACGCGTACCAAAGCCCGAGCCTGTCTCCCACAAGGTCACGACAGGACAAATACCTTTCTGGCAGCTGTTGCCCTGGAACCCAGGTTTGCAGAGACACGTGCCGTCCTGGGAGTCACAGCCCACCGTGTGCGTCTGCGCACACAGGCACTCCCGCGAGCAGCCTGGACCGAACGTCCACTTTGGGCAGGCTGTAAGCCAACAACAGGAAGACACAGACATTATTCCCTAGAAAAATGTGAACGAGTTTCACCGACTTTTCCCTCTCTAACTTGGAGGATCTTGACTTCTCTCCGTTGCTCCGTCCTGTCTCTACTTGACTGACATCAAATGTGCACTCTGAGGTTTGTTAGCAGAAGATTTGGGGAAAAGCGATTAGGAGCAAAATTTCTTCGCTGGGATTGTTGCTAGGGTTCGGAATTCCTTCCCACCTGCAACAATTAAGGCCACTGTTGGGAGAGAACTCGAAAGTGGGATTAATGATAAATTTGATAATACAGGGAGCAGTGGACAGACAGACATCGTGAGCCAAATACCCTCCTTCTGTGCTGAGAATTTCTAGGCTCTATTAAAATCAGAGCAATTCTAACCGTAACAGAAGCAGTGATACTGTAGCCATTTGCCTATTTCCTATAGGAAGCGCCTGGCCGCTATTTTGACAACGTCCCACCAGAATGCTAGAAATCAGGAGCTCCCCCTGTTGGGAATCACGGGCTCAGTCCACATCACTCCGTACTACTCGTAATCGCAGCGTTTCTGAGAATGATACTTGAGCAAGACCCTCGACAAGCAAGCAAACAATTAGTGAGCAACGCTGACCTTGCTTAATCCATAACCAAGTATAAATAAAATAAATAAATAATAGAAACAACAATAAATTTGGTCACTCAATCCACGACTTTGTGGAACACTGCTGCGCACAATTAGCTGCCGTGTTTCACCCACAAAATATATACAATCACTTTACTTTACAATATGTTCTGTGAAGCACTTTGAGACATCTCAATGACATGATAAAGCGTTATATCAAATGCAAGAGCAATTATTATTATTATTAAAGCATTTGGCACTTACGTAAATGACAGAAGCGTCCGTACAACCCAGGGTCACACAGACAAGCCCCGTACAGCCGGTGGCAATAGCCGGTCCAGCCACAGTTACACCTTTTATTGCAGCTTTTGCCAAAGAATCCCTTCGGGCAGCCTAGTAGCAGAAAACAAAATCCAATAGGTTTTGAAATGACTCCCGTCTGTTTATCCTGCACAGACCCCGGGCCAGCGAAACCCAATCTAAACTTTCATATAAAGATCATAACTCCGATAAGGTTGTGCAACACCTTTTTACATTCTGTTTTAATTTGGAAGCTGCTTCCTTTTAAGAACTGTTGAACCGGCTTTAAAATGGACTGACTTGAAAAATTTTCCACGATTCTGTACGACCTTAAGTTTCAAGACAAAATGTCTCAAAAGCTAAGACCAGGTGAAATTTTAGGCCTTTTTTTGTCACTTAAAACCAAGCTCAGAGATACCTAATCACCAAATATCTCCTTTTCTGTTCACTTGAATCTTGACCCTTCATTGTGTTTCCCAATTTAACAACCTCTCTTAGACTGAAATGTTTGTTCAGTTTTACTTTCTTATAATTTTCTCCCTTCTCCCTTGAAGCTATTGACTTGTGCTGGGGATATGGTTTACCAGACACCAATCTCCCTCTGTCCCATTGCCCTAGGGCCCCAGCCTTCATCTGTGAGACAGACAGTGAGTGCTACAGGCTGTATAACCGCGTGTCAGCATTCCAGCCGAGACAGTCCATACCATCACCAATAGCCGCCTCCTATGTGTCATTTCCTGCAAGGGATCACTGGCTTACCCATTAGGGGAGGCCTAAAATTCCACCTATTCCTTGAAAACCATTCATTTACGATTGTGCAGAATTAAGGAGGACTCTTACATTCGGGTTTTAACTTGGAAATTTGCGCCTGCAGAAAAACAGCTTCCAAATGGGATTGAAGAATTTTCCAAAGTTCTGCAGTCTTAAATTTAAAGGCAACAGTTGTAAGTCTAAGACCAGATGGACCTTCGGGCCTCAAGGGATGGAATCCAGGCATATTTTCCGCCCCCCACCTCCCACAGATGCTGAGGCCAGCTGTGACACTCTACAGTTACCACTTTATCTGAGATCATCAAACAGTGTTAGGAGAGCTGAAACCTGGGAACTACCTGTGACATTGGAAAGTACAATTTAGCACTGAATTATCAGTGAAGCCCAGATGAAAAGCCTGTCCCCTCCACAGCCCATGCGCAATCTAATCATAACCAACACATTTTATTTCCCGAGGGGAAGTTCTACACAGACACTCACTGCTGACAAACATCTACCGTATTCAACCTCAGCCTCCTGACATCCAAATAAAATGCTCCCCCCACTCCACACCATAAACCCACAGCAATATAGAAACAATCAGATCTTGTGGCATATTTTCTGATCCAAGATTGGGCATAGGCCCTAACCAGGAAGGTAAAGGAAGGAGCTGAGACACCAAAACAAAGTAGGTTGCAAAGAATTTGGGATTCAGTTCATTTCATGTTGTTCACTGATAGATAAAAGACCAAAAGACACAAACCGTCTTCACAAAACTCTCCGGCAATCCCAGGTGGGCAACGGCAGCTTCCTGTGGCCGCATCGCACGAGCCTCCGTTCTGACACCGGCAGATGCTGTTGCAGTCCTTTCCGTAGGTGCCCTTAGGGCAGGCTGGGAATAGGAAGTGATAACAGTAGTCGAATGAGCTGCTGGAATCTTTTTAACATGAAGGAACTTCAATGAAGTGAAATGGACACAGCTCAGCCCAGACGAAGATAGCAAGTGAGGCTGTATGGTCACACTCAAACTAGGACACATGTCTGCACAGCCATAGGCATCGGCTCAGTTACTGCGTGACCACACTTTCAGGTGGATGTGCTTTTGATTCCTGAGGCCTTGCAATAGTCTTTCCTTCCTGTTCATTTCCAAGAGCCAGGCCATGCTCCTGTGCTACAAATTCTTGGTACCAAATAGGTGTGTTGTGTCTACATTAGCTTCCATATTATAATCTATGGTACATCCTATCCTGGTTGTGTTGTGTCTCTGTGGCTTCCTCTACCATTCTAAGGGATTCCCATCTTCTATTCGCAGCTTGAATGTCGATAACAGGATAATAGAGGGAAATAAAGTTTGGAGATTTGAACTCATGGAGAGTGAAGCAAAGATGTGAATTATGTGACCAACTGCAATCAAACTGTAAAAGAGTTAGATGTGTTTCAGGAAGAAGTAAACTGACTCTGGTTACAGGTGAGGCCGCTCCATCCCCCAGGACAGTCACATCCGTTGCTTTCAGCGTTGCAAACTCCTCCATTCACACAGTCATCACAGCTCAGGCTGCAGTCGTTCCCAAACGTGTTATCCAAGCAGACTGTGAATTGACGCAAATAAAGGATTTACAACAAACCAGTAAATGTCTGACAATCGAGCTCAACGCTGTCTGCTGAACACCCCTCAACAAAAAAAACTCATACAGGAATACTCCAACACCTTGCCCATTATTCATGCAAGAGTTTGACAGTGAGTCAAGGTATCCCAATTGCTGTCCTGCCTAATGGGTGAATTTTGTCAATTCAGTCTTTACTCGAAAAATTTTTATTTTTACCTCCAAAACTGGCTTCCAGATCAAGACAAGACTGATTGTCTAAAATTTTGCATCAGCTTCAAGTTTAAATATAAAATGGTCCAACAGTCTCAGGCTAAGTGGAATTGGGGACCTGGTACGTACTGATTTTGTGCATGAGTCGCAGTTCGTCCCTCAGATCCTCTTGTACAGATGTGTTAAGGAGGTTCTGTAGTGTAGAAGCTGTGGTGGGGTTCTGAACAAGAGATCTCGGAATTTAGCCAGCTCGATCTCTTCCTCCAGCTCCTCATCTTCATCATCATCAAGAGCTGAGGAAAGAGAAACATCACATTAAAGGCAGCCAGCTACGGAGTCCTGAGGTCCAGGCCTCCCCCAGGGTCTATCTTCTGCATAGGACCATCTCCACTCAACTCACGGGAACAGCTTTTTCTGTCGGCCTCCAGCCTGTATCCTCCTGGACACGTGCACCAGTATGATCCGACTGTGTTAATACACAGATGGTCACAGCCACCACTGTCTGCTGAGCATTCATCTACATCTATTTGTGAAGAGAAGCAAAAGAGAGCGGGTTAGACAGAATGGGCTAGCTCCTGGGTGCGCTGGGGAGGAGGGGGGTATGGACTTACCCAGGCACGGTGGGAGAACACAGAGTATGGTGGGAGGGCACTCAAATGCCCCAAGTACTATGTAAGGCATAAGAGCAAAGACTGGTGTGTGTATATTCAGCTGCTGCGAATTTATTCGCTTCCAATCAATTGGTTGGTGGAACAGTCCAAGACTGATTAAGTGATAATTTTTCAATACTATTAAAGAGCCAATCTGTTGAATCAAGCTCACAAGACCTCAGGACCCTTTCCATAAATCAGCAAAAGGTTTTTGTCTCCTCAGTTTGCAGTACAACAGAGCCCAAAATCCAGAGAATCCAAGTTTCAGACAAAACATCGACCATCTACACGACACAGTTCCCATCTTGTTTCCCTTTTTGACTTGAGATTACCCTAGAGATCAGTCTGTTTCCATTATAGACAGAATCTGTTGCTGAATCCTGTTTGACATGTGAACGGCTGGGAGGAGCTGAGGACGGGGCAATATTGTGACACAAAGTATCTCGTTTGAACCTTGGAAGCTCAGTTTATCAAGCTCCAATCTGTTGGGTTTGAATCCCAGTAATAATAATAATCCTTGCATTTGCTATAGCACCTTTCACATCTTCTAGACAGTAGAGTCCATTCAGGACTTCATTACTGTTGGGTCTGTTGGACGTTCAAACAAAGTTGCCAGTTTTAATAAATGTGAATCATTGAGTAATGAAATAACATTTGGTGGAACTGACTGAGAAGCACAGCTTGGCACAGACCAATGGGTTAGGGCCTTTCACTCTCACTATACCGTCACAGCTGCATCCATCCATGTTCAACCTGTATCCTGCCCGGCAGCTACACTCATAACCACCGGGATTATTACTGCAGTCCTGGGCACAGCAGGCCACCCGAGTCTCACACTCATTTGAATCTGCAAGAGATCAGAGAACGAAGAGCAAGTAAAATCACAATAACCTGAATCTCATCTACAGCAATAAGTGACTATCACTCAAATATATATCCGCAACAGACACATATCGTAGGGTCAGTTAATCACACAGCTAATCACATTAGCCAGCGACAGGACTTCACTACACAAAAAAAGGTCTCCAAAAGTCTATCTCATGAGGTAAAATAAATAGGCGAAGGAAGGAGTCAGAGCTGCCCGTTGTGCAGTGGAATGGGAGTGGATAAAAATTGCACAGACAGAGAACTGATCTGTTACACAAGCTTCAAAAAAAAGTTTGCGGGAGGTTTTACTCTTGGCCATGGTGGGTACCTAGGCACGTGCGTGAGTCCGAGTCGAGGAGGTATCCTTGGTTACAAGAGCAGCGCGGTCCGTAGGTTGTGTGCTCGCAGTGGTGAGAGCAGCCACCATTCTCTTTGTCACAGCTGTTTACAATCTCCATCTCAATGCCTGTTGGGGTTTGAGGGGAGGAGTGGGATTGGGAGAAGGAGGGAAGAAAGAGGAAAGAAAGAGGAAAGTGAGCATAAAATGAGAGGATGAGCTGATTGCACCACGTTTGTGGGACACTGCTGTGCGCAATTGGCTGCCGCGTATCATTCACACAATATACAATCAATTCACTTTACAGTATATTCTGTGAAGCGCTTTGAGATGTCTCGAAGATGTGATAAGGCGCTATATCAAATGGAAGGATTATTATTTATTATTAGTGTAACCACAAACCAGTGCCTACCAGTGGAATGTCAGCCATTGCATCTAATTTATTTACACTGTTATGCGCATTGTTCCTCCTGCTCCCTGTAGCCTCACTGTGTGTCACCACTGTTTCTGGCTCGATTTCATCTTCTCACCTACTCTTTCCAACATTCTGTCCTGTACTGTCAATCTTGATCGCTCGCCTGCATTTGTTTAAACCGTCACTACATGGTGTAATTACTTATGAAATGTTTTGAGATGTTTCAACATCATAAGCACTGTAAAACTGCAAGTTCTTTCTTTCTCAATAATTTTTTTCTTCTTTTAAAATAACTTTTACTGCAGTTGCTCCCTCTGGAGGCCACTGGAATCCTGTTCACAATAGCCATTTCATCTTCCACTTTGTTTGTCCTTGTGGAACATTATGAATCAATACAGTGTCACTAGGAAGAGAGGAGAGGGGAAGATGGGTCCTGCTTTATTGAGGTTATATACTGGAGGTTATATCACAAAATGAGCAATAACAAAGTCCCACCATTGCTTTAAACCACACAGACTGTCCTTAACAACAAATGCCTCATTATGAGAGAGTAAAGGCACAGAACGGGAAGCTCGGTGCTTAACCACATGTCAATTCCACACCTTATTGCTCCACTTACGGTAACACTGTTTCCCATCAGCTCCCATCTCAAATCCAGGATTACAGACACAGCTGTACGATCCCAGAACATTGACACAGCGATGAGCACACATTGCAATTCCCGTGAGACACTCGTCGATATCTGTAGGAGGAAGGCCAGAGGAGAAGACATCCAATCAAATTCCATCAGCAGCAAAATATCCCAAAGAGCAACCTATTCCTTCTCAGCAGCCATAGAGACAATGATAAGGCTGCAAAGTCAGTCGGCTCTTTAAACCAACACTTTGCTAGGGTGACAATCCTGGGCAGCGTCTTGCTCAAGGGACTGTTTCAGAAACAGCAAAGACCATGATTGAGCCCAGGGTCTGGTGATTCCATGATGTCCGTTTGCCAAGCAAGGGCCAAACACTTACTCACAGGCAGTTGCGAATTCAACCATTAGAGGGCTGATGGTTCTATTAAAGCTGTGGATCCTACAATATGAATCAAGCCCTTTCATCCTTATTCTATTGATGCCGCTCTCTAATAGTAATCCCTTGCTTTGTCTCACGAGACGGAACCAGGAGAGAGAACAGCGCTGAATTCTGGCTCTGATAACAGCCCATGCCCAGGCAGCTCACTGATGCCCCACACAGACACCTGGAGCTTGACAGTTTCGTACCATCACATGTTTTCCCATTTGCCGTCAGTTGATACCCGGGATTGCAGTTACATTGTGCCGTTCCATCTTCACTGTGGCAGATGTGCTCGCAGCCACCATTCTGATCACTACACGGATCCTTCACTGGCAATGAAAGAAAGTGCCAGTGGTCATTTCTGAATTAGCATCAGTTAACACTCTGCTGGCTGTAACACACTCACTCACCGTTTTAACTAATACATACACTGTTGTAAGACAGCAACAACAATTTACACTTAAATAGCACCTTTCACCTATAAAATGTCTCCATAGCACTTTACAAAGGCAGAGTTGGAGTTGGGAGATTGAAGGATCTGTCATGACATAACAAACTGGTGGAACAGGTTTGAATGTCCTGTCCACCTCCTGTTCTGTTCTATTATGTTTGTAATTATTTATTTCATGCTGGGATCTGACAGCCAAAAGTCAGAGGAGACTTCCATCACACCAACTTGAGCTGCCGTCAAACCTAGTTGGCAGAGCTAAAACCCGGGATATTTATTATTCTCTTTGGTTACCGAAAGGGAAATTGGCCCAGTTTGGTGTGGCCTTGTCAATGCCATTTTAGACAGTGCAAACACAAAAATCATGTCAATATCGTGTGCACCGATCATTAAAAAAAAACCTTTGTAAAGGGAATTTCAGACTCTGATGGGGACAAGTCTTCAAAAATTCTGCCCAACTTCAAACATTTTGGACAAACAATACCTCCTACTGAACTGCTGCCACGCTCTTGCCTTACATTCACAATGCTTCCCATCTCTCTGCAGCTGGTAGTTTGCTGGGCATTTGCACAGGTAATGGTCGTCGCTGATCTGCACGCACTCCCATTCACATCCGCCATTGTTTAGCGAGCAGGAATTTACAGCTGATGGGGAGGAGACAGAAAAGAGAAACTTAATTTAAACTCACCATTTCTGACCTAAAATAGGCAGTCGCCTACAAAAATGCAGAGTAACTGCAGTTTATAGTGAATCCTGTGAAGGAAGTCCTTTGAGACATCTTCCTAATGTGAAAGGCTCTATATTAAATGCAAGGATTATTGATGCATTTCTCCCTCCTCCAATATAACACAATCTCTGGGAGTCTGAATATTCAGGTACAAAGCACTTCATCTTCATTGTAACACGTGGAGTCCTGTAGCTCAGTGGTTAGAGCACTCGCTTTGCAAGTGAGAGACCTGAGTTCAATTCCAGGCAGAGGGCGAAACCTTGGGCAAGTTTCCTTACTCCACACGCCTAATAATAATCCCTCCAAAAAAACAAAAACAATAATAAATTGGTCATTTTCAATCTACGACTGTTTGTGGGACATTGCTGTGCGCAATTGGCTGCCGCGTTCGCCCACAAATATACAGTCAATTCACTTTACAGTCTATTCTGTGAAGCGCTTTGGGACGTCCTCCCGACGTGAAAAGCGCTATATCAAATGCAAGGATTATTATTATTATTATTATTATTATTAACACTCTCCTGTGGTTGGAGGAGGAAAGAGAGAGCGACAGGGAATACTTATAAGATGGTTGCAGAGAGAGAGGAGAAAGAAAGGGATGGCATGAGTCAATCGCAACACCAATGATCTTTTTTTTAATTATGTGTTTATAACAAATTTATACAAACAAATCACGAGATCCCTTAAGAAGTTGAAAACTATTCACCCCCCCCCCCCCCCCCAAAGAATTAAAGGCTGCCTTCAAGGAGTTGTGCCAGACTGCAATTAAGTGCAAACAGCGTTAAATAACAATTTAGCTCTCATACCAGTCTCTTCTCTAAAACTGCTGTGACCTTTGATTCCAGATTACTGCTTGTTTGTTGAAATGGAAAATTCTGGGATTATTCCCTTCCTCCCATTCCCCCATCCCCCCCTGCTTCCCGCTTTCCCAGAGAATCAGCCTAGTATCTGCTTTCCCGTGAAGACTTTGTGGCTCTGTCTCCTGCAGAAAAATGGGATGTTGTCTCTGTGTTCTGCACCTGCCACTCACATTAGCACCTATCCACCAAAAGCCAGATAAGCATCAAGGCATTAGGGGGTTAGCACGAGAAGTATGAAGGGTGTGAAAGGTGAATAGCCAGCCAGGACTATTCACTTGTGGCTTTTGGGCTTGGGGATGTAACACCCCCACCTCCCCCACAGCAACATAGATTTCAAACAGACAGTGTGAGGATTATAAAACACACTGAGGGCAAAGGTGACTGATGAACGACGTGAAACACAAGCTACATTTCTTTTCACTCAACCTCTTGGGGTCAACTGTGTTCAGTGCTGAAGATTTGTTAGATTACATGTGGTGCAATAGCAACGGGGGAGGGGGGGGTGGAGAAAGAGTTTCAAATCTCCATCCCGTGTTCCCGTGTTTGCTTTGCTTCTCCACTTTCCTAAGCCATGTGATTATGGCTATTTACTTAATTGTACGACTATCTCATCTACCTGTCTAGATAAAGAAGTTAATAATTATATTTATTTCCCTTCTCCCTTTCCTCTCCTGAAGCTACCAACTGAAGCTGGACTAGGCACTCCCTGATTCTTTTACTCAAGTGACTATTTCTCTTGGTGTTGAGATGCTACCCTGCGCGTGAGGCGCTATATTCATAGAATGTTACGGCACAGAAGGAGGTCATTCGGCCCCTCGTTGTTGTTAAATGCATAAAATGCAGTCAACAACTGCTGGTCTTCTCCAGACCTCAAAGCTCCATTTATCTGCTATTTTTTGTGGGAATCTGTTGTGTCAGATTGGAAAGAAGATCGTTTCAACCTCTAGTCAAACCTTGGGTAAATCTGTGCCAAACATATAGAGTATAACTGCAGCCAGCTATATTGCCACTCAGGCAATACTGTACCTAATAATACCTATAGACTTCTTCTATATCTCTGCTCCATGGTGCACACAACTGATGAGTTCAGTGCAGTTAGACCATGAATTTGGCTGACCACTTACTAATGCAAGTGCGACCGTCCGCATGGATCCTATACCCAGCCTCGCACTCGCAGTAGAATGAGCTTTGGGTGTTCACGCAGCTCTGTTGGCAGCCTCCATTGACCGCGGTACACTCGTCCACATCTATTAAAGAAACAATATTCAGGCACCTGCCAAGCTCAAACAGTTTTAGAGAATTTTTTTCCCTTTGGGGGAAGATGCTTGGGTGATGCTCTAGAAAGCAGGAGAGTACTGTAAGAAAGAGGATGGTATAAATCAAATGGATGGTTTGGGAGAGCATAAAGAAAGGGAAGTATGGTGGTTGGAGGCTATCAGTCACAACGCCCCCACTCGCTGAAAATCACTCCCACAATCCCTTTACGTTAGTCGTCTCCACACCTTCCAAATCCCCTTAAAAACCTTCTAATGACCATGAATTTGATGAACATCCTTCCATTCTCCTTCCGTTCCTTCTTGTTCGGTGCTCCCTATCTGTAAGTGCAAGCTGTTGAACGAAGCCAAGCTAGAGCTGTAAACACTTGTAGATTCTGTTTGTGAAAAGCTAAAAGTAAAGAATAGGTTAGGAGCTTAGGGGCATTTCAAGCTCTCAGCTTCTATGCCTCCTTCCTGACCCTTTCTTTAGTTGTAAGTCAATTGGTTCAGGTTCTTCCGATTTGAAATCAAACAAAAAAAGATATATTAACTGGGACTGACTGGTTAAGTTAGGACTGCCATGTTATATAGAGTAAGGCGCAACAGAAGAATACTCCCTGTTGTACCATTGTGATATCAGGCATCCCTCATAACATAACCAAGGCACTGTAACCCAACCATCTGCAGTCTTTACGATGTGCTTTTGGCTATTAAAAAAACTGTTCTAAGATGCACCTGTTGGACTTTACAAGATTCTTTTATTTAGTATTTTTTTCATGTTGGCTCAACGGTTGCCTTCACCCGCAGTGCTGATGTGAGGTCCATCACAAAATGGTGCAGGGTGGGTGTGAACATGAATTGGGGCAGTCACTTGCTCTCAGAGCATATTGTTCAGGTCAGTGGAGTTGAGGAGCAAAGGGCAGAGAGAAATTCAAGTGCCCCTAGAAGAGGCAAAAACAGCGGTCATAAAAAATGGTCTGTTCCATACTCCGCACTCCCCATTTCCTACAACAGGAAATGATTGTTTGTAGCACATTAGTCTTGTCTTTTGAGGATCATATGTATACAGTTCTGGTGAAACAGAAAGCACAGAGCCAAACTGTTCTGCTACAGTTCCAGACTTGTCTCAAGCTCCATAACTCTCAGAACTGAAATATCTGGCATCACATTTCGGAAAAAATCCCCTCCAACCACCGGCTGTTTGGAAATGAAACATGTCCCTTTGGAAAACCCTCAGCTTTACCATTTGTATAATAGGTTAAACAGGAGTTCTCAACGGCTGCTTAATAGTTTACATCCTTCAATGATACTAAAGGAGTCAAAAATAAACCTGGAAGTGTGAGTGCAGGCTGTACATAGGAGCAGGGAAACCAGCCAGAAACAGACTCCGGGTCCTCGCCAGACCAGAGTCTCCACTAGAGACACTGTAATGAAGTTGGGGACCTGTACGCACGTGTCTGCACAAACAAGCTGAGTGTTTGAGTGGATATAGCACAGGCCTAGGAATATGAATAAACTTCAGAAATTTTAGAAGAGAGGAAAGTGCCTGTAAGTTGATCTTGATTGATCTTAACCCCACTTTCTCATCATCTTTTCTTTAATCTCTTCTCTGAAGCCCAGGCAACAACAACAACAACAACAAATTGCATTTCTATAGCAACTTCCCTATTAGGAGGATTTTCCAAAATGCAGGATAGTTGAGGGTTTGCACCCGAGCTGGAGCTTGGAATCAAAAGGAGTGTAGGGCAAGGGAGTGGGAGGATAGCCGAAGGCACAGTCAAAGAGGAAGGTCTTGAGACAAAGGCCTTGAAGGGAGCAAGAATTGTGGCGAGACGAAGGGACTTCAGGATGCAGTTCGAGAAGATGGGGGAAGCCAGGCTGAAGGCTCGACCGTTAATTGTGGGGCAGATATGGAGTAGTCCAGTATCCGCTGAGCGGAAGGAGTGGGCAGGTTGGCAAGGCTTTAGCAAGTCACATCTCTATCTCTAGCAGAGTCTTGCTTATAGGGAGTTTACTGTAGTTATTCATTTCATGACTGTTTATGGAACTTTGCTGTGTGCAAATAGACTGATGGGTTCACTTACAAACAGACAGTCACTACACTATCCTCCCCAGTCTTACCTTCACAGGACAGGCCGTCAGTGCCAAGCCGGTACCCCCCTGAACACTTGCAGTAGTAGCTGCCAATGGTATTGCAGCATTCCTCCTGACAGCCACCATTCCCTCTCACACACTCGTTCACGTCTGTATAAGGGAGAAACAAATAACAACTCAGTTATGATAAATCCTCCCCCCCAACCCACAACACTACTGTGTACAGGGGAAAGCAAGGTGATATGTACAGCTGAATCGAAATGTGTCCTTGCCTGATGTACGCACCCGGTTTCCAGCAAGGAGAGCCTGTGGATAGCCAAGGAGAAGAGAAACCCTAGCTGTTCATTTCTGCCCTCCTTTGCCCACGGTACTGCTGTGCACAATTGGCTGCTGCATTTCACCCGCAAAACACAGGCAATTCACTTTACTATATATTCCGTGCTTTGAGACACCTCAACAACATGATAAAACGCTATGTCAAATGCAAAGATTATATTATTATTCTACACCAATTATTCATACAGATTCCCAAGTGAACAACTTGCCTTTAGTGCTGCAAAATGGGTAACAACAACAACAACAAGATTCCATTTATAGAGCGCCTTTCACGTCGGGAGGACATCCCAAGGTGCTGGACAGTTGGGTCAGGACCCGAGCAGGGGGGAAATGGTCAGGCTGAGGGGAGGGAAGGGAAGTGGTGCTGTTCCCTCCAGAGCAGCAAAGTGTATCTCTACAGAGGTACAGTCTCCGCATATCCACACAGGGCAGAACATGCACCTGCAACCTGGTCAGTTAGCCAGGGCAGTTGTACGTTGTAGCCTCCTGTAAGGTACATCAGAACAAAGTGTGTGGCTGGGTTAAGAAGAAGCTGAGAGGTCATGAAGCACAAATCCTTTGTAGCCTTTCACCTCCCTTCCCCCTGAGCCCACCTGCACCTGTAGCCTTTGAAGCCAGGAGGTCTCGGAATTGAGACAAAGGAGGCACATTGTCGACAAGCTTTTGGCTTTCGGTTCCATAAAAATTTGAAGAAAAAGGAAATGAATTCATGTCAATTCCAGTCCGGTACAGGAGGCAACGCAGGAAGTGAATAATTACGCCGTTATGTGGCCGACAACTAATCACCTCATCATTGTGCTGGCTGCCTCACCGGGGACAAAGACTTCTATTTCCCGTCATTACTCCGGGAGCGCAGAGCGATGGCAACAGGGGAGGAATAAATAACCGTCTTAGCTCTAAAACACGAGCCAGCGAGGAACATCTGCCAGATCCATTGCATCAATGCGAGAGAAACCAATCCACAACGTACACATACTCCAGCTGGGACCAATGTCTCCAAATTCAACATTACCTCCTTGTTCTTGTGTTCAAATATAAAATTTAGAATCCCAGTTGTTTTTTATGATCTTGTTCCCCATGTTCTTCCATACTTTGGGGGCCTGGGGACCTTGGATACAGGAGTTCCATTTAATAATCAATGAATGGAAATCCCAACCTCCCTCCTCCCACTTATCCGTATGTTAGCTATATTCCATTTACTGACCTTGAGAGGTTAAACGTGGTATAATTTCTGTAATGTACACATTGTCTTCTCAAGTAATATTGAGAATATACTCAATTTATCATGTTGAAACAACTCAAAATGTTTACCAGTAGTTAGTAACTTTTTTTATATATAGGCAAACATATCTACCAGCAGCAAGGACCCACAAGGAATTCCCTTCTCTTTTCCAATAGTGTCAAGGGACAGTAAACTGAACAGGCAAACAGGTTCTTAGATTTAACATCTTAGCCAAAGAATGAAATCCATGACAAGGCAGTCCTCCCTCAATAATTCACTGAAGTGCCAAGCTAGAATATGATCTCAAGACCCAATATGGGACTTGAATCCCCACCTTGGTGAGTGCTACCAACTAAGCTGAGCTCAAAGTTAGATGAGGGGCTAAGGTCCACAGTGCTAGTCAGTAATAAGGTTGAGAAGAACAGGGAGCACAAATCAAAAAGTAGTGGTTAGGTTGAGTCAATGCTCATCCAATAGAACAACAACTTGTATTTAAATAACGCCTGTCACACCTGGACGACAGATACCTGTACAACACAAAGCTGTAGCACGTCACCACACCAGAAGCATGGATACAAAGTCATTTTGTCAAAATTCTTTAATGTTATCTTATGTGAAAGGCACTACATACATCAGTGCAAGTAGTTTTTGTTCCCGTCCCACTGGATTTCAGCAGCTGATTTTGTAGATGTTTAAATTACATTCTTAAATTAAATTACATTCCTCACAAACCAAAGAATCTCAGAACTCAGCGGAAGGTTCCATTTGTTCCCATATTAATCTGTTGGACCTATTGTTTCCTACTTTGAAAAGCAAATGTGCAAAAGAGTCTTTCCCCCCAGAATCAACCATTGTGGAGTCCTGTAGCTCAGTGGTTAGAGCACTCACTTTGCAAGCGAGAGACCTGAGTTCAATTCCAGGCAGGGTGAAACCTTGGGCAAGTTTCCTTACTCCACCCGCCTAATAATAATCCCTCCAAAAACCAAAAACAATAATAAAAAAAATTGGTCATTTTCAATCTATGACTGTTTGTGGGACATTGTTGTGCGCAATTGGCTGCCGCGTTCTCCCACAAATATAGTCAATTCACTTTACAGTGTGTTCTGTGAAGCGCTTTGGGACGTCCTCCTGACGTGAAAAGCGCTATATCAAATGCAAGAATTATTATTATATTATATATTATTATTACACTGCAGGCAGGAGAGCTGTTCTGCTGCGGCAAAGCTGAGGTTCCAGTAGAATGAACTTGCAAAGCTCCAAACTGCCTCCAAGGGTTTTGGCAAGGTTATATCAGACCCAATTACATAGAGCTCCTTACAGTATACAGTGAAGCTTTCCCCATACACACAGACCTCCTGAAGATACAGATTCATCCAAGGGTATGGTTCTATTGCTGCGAGCTGACCTCCACTAGCTCAGCCAAATGACTATATGTCCTGCATGTGCCCAGGGAGTAAGCTTCAGTGATTTAGTGGTCAAAGCATTAGAGCCAAGCTGACCCCATCTTCAGCCAATAACCACACACTCAGTGTCCGGCAAGACTGGGAAATGTGGATAAATTGCTCCTTCAGGCTCCCACCCCCACCACCCAATGATAGCATCCTGACTATCATCCTGAGATCAGCAAACTCAGCAACAAGTGGGGAACAAAGATACAGGCATCTGATCTGTGTGACTCAGTTCCACATAGGTCAGAATAAGGCAGCTTGTAGGGTAGTTAAGCAGATGCTTCTGTGGACCTGTCTCCCTGGTGCATTCAGGCTCTTATTTCCCTTCGCAAAATGTCACCAGAATTAATTATTAATTCCATCTCCATCTGATATTTGCAGAATTTAATTTTTTTTTGAGATTCGCAGAATTTCAATCTTTTTTTGAAAATGTCAGGAGTTTATTTTTTAATAAAAAATTGCTATTGTACATTCACGTTAATGGGAAAAAAGTCACTCCTGTCAGGACCTAGTTAGCTTCTATACTATACTACAAAGCTTCTGTACAGGAGCAGGAATGCAAACTTAGAAAGATGAACATGCGACATATGATACCAGCAATAAATGAACCCTTCCCCTTACCCAGTGTGCACTAAACACAGATCTGGGAATGGAGCACCAGAGGCCGGGTGCCAAGTGGCTAAAAGTCCACCCGCAGATAGCAGGATGTTACATGCACAATATGCTCAACCAATATTATGGATGTTCTACTGGACCTTACCCCATCACCCCACCAACACACACACACACACAGTTTGTGATTTACACTTTTTCACCCAGTGTACAAGACACCATGTGCAGGCAGGAATGTCTCCCAAGTCCAACAATGAATGTGCCGCTAGGTGTACATTATTACAGGAAATAAATCACCACTAGAACACAGCACGCTGCCAGCACCTTCATTAAACAGCAACTGTGACCACCAGTACGCCCATTCAGAGGAACACATCCTTGGCAGAACTCCAGGCCTCCCGGCCTCTGAAATTGAATGGAATGCTAACTGCAGTAATGGAACTCTGACACCACAAGTGCATTCCACAGGACTTCCCCATTTCCACAGTCGGGCTTTGGGATATTCTCCCACGAAGACAAATCAGAGTTGGCCTCTTTGCTTATGTACGCTTGGAGAGATTACTGTATTCCAGAAACAAGGAACTACTAGCAAAAGTACATCCAGGTCTGTAGAACCATGAAATAGGGCACTATCTCCTACTCTCATTAGTTTTTTCTAGAATCTCTTTCCTCTTGTGAAGTAACTTCTAACCTCACTCAATCTTCCATTCCTACTATCTTCAGCGTTTGGGGCTATATCTAGCCAAGTGGCCTTGATTTATCTCAATGTTCTCTCCCAGTCTTTTTATCATTGGTGATTTTTCTCTAGCATCCTCCCTTCCCCAATCTGTCTCCATCACTGCCTTTCTCCACTTTATTTATTTCAAGACACGTGTGAGCGCTTGGGAGGAAAATTGGTGGCAAAAAAAAGTTTATTTGTGACTCTCAACCCAACAGCCCCCCCCCCCCCCCCTCTTTAAATGTTTTCTGAAAGAAGAGACCCCCCACCTCAGTGTCATTGAATTTTTTTTATTTTTTTGGTCAGCCGAGTATCTGAAATACTCAGAAACCCATCACCGTGCTTAAGAGTATCCAAACCAAACTGAGAATTCCATGCATCCCAACTACACATGGAAATTCCAGAGATAGATTGTTGGAATGGAATGCGCACTCTCTCCCTGGAGAGACGCATCCTGCTTACCTAATTCCGGAAAGTATTAGGCACAGGTTAACAAGAGCCATGTGTGTCTGAATCCATGTGTGACCCTTGACAGCGAAAGGCAAAAGCCTATATATCCATAAAATAGAGCACTACACCTGATCCGGAGGGACCATTACAGCTGATACCAATCTTGCCTTCTTTCCACATCACTTTTAGGGCTCACTGGGCAATAGTTAAGAAAAACCTGGCTGAGTTCCCTCTCCCCAATTCAGGATGCTGGGGCAAAATTTAGCAATAACTACTGCCATCCTGGCCGAGATCAGCTAACTCAACACAGATTTGTGACTAAACTAAAGAACTTCTTGTTCTGTATTTTCCAAATAAATTAATT